CGTTAACCTCTCTAATTACTTTTTTATCCTTGAGTACCATTGATTCTCTAATGGACAGTGATTTATAAAACACATTCATGAATCGGAGCTCCTACTGGTCCAAGTACCGAATCAACCCTCAAGAGAATTATTTATCTACTTCTTTCTTAAGAAGGAATGGATTCCATCTCGTGTAATAACATTCCCGGCTACCTACTTCATCATGTCTCCAAAATACAAGGAATAGGATTCAGGATCTCAGAATCCGTACCGAGTAAATCAAAAGACACAAATCCATAAATATGAGTCTGTTAAGAACTCAGGATTAAGATCATCCTATATATGACCATCAGTAGACTCAATTAGAATTTCTATACTTAACGGAATTATTAGAAATTCATATTGTGTTTGTGTCCTTGTTCCACATAATCTCATTATGCGAAAAACACTCATTCAATATCTCACCATATTACCAGTGCGGATAACATCGTTCCATTCTAAATGGGAATGACATGTATTAATAATGTTTTAATTAAAGATTCTGAACTTTATTTAAATTCATTATGAACATTGCTTTTTGATTATTATCCTTAAACATTTATCCTCTCGTATATAACACTTATATACAATGTTTAAGGTTACATAAATAACCTTGGAATTTTCATTGATATTCATAAAATATTCATAAATATATACACATAAAATAATGAATAAACTCTTTTATTAAATAAATAATAAATATCCTATTACATCTCATGCTTCTAGGACACCATTCCCAACAATTAGCTGCTAGCTCAGGAGGGGCTTTACATTTTGGAATCAGAGCAACACGTTTCTGGAGATATAGTAGACAAGACGTGCAATAAGACCAAGAACTCAGTCAACCTAGGATTTATCCTTTGAGGAATAGTTAAACCTTCATATTTACTAGACACTTGTTCATTTTGCAACCATCAAATTTCGAGGACGAAACTTTTAAAAGGATGGGCTATTATAATATCCACCTTATCAGATAACATATAGATACGAAAGAAAAGTTCAAATTTTCTTCTAAGTGGACACGTGTCAAGATTAGGAAAGAAGAAAAGGTCAAGCTTTCTTCCAAGTAGACATGTGTCAAGATCAGGAAAGAAGAAAAGTTCAGGTTTTCTTCTAAGTAGAAACGTGTCAAGATCAGGAAACAAAAAAGTTCAGGTTTACTTCTAAGTAGACACGTGTCAAGATCAGGAAAGAAGAAAAGTTCAGGTTTTCTTCTAAATAGACACTTGTGAAGATTAGGAAAGAAAGAAAGGTCAAGTTTTCTTCTAAGTAGACACGAGTCAAGATGAGGAAAGAAGAAAAGTTCAGGTTTTCTTCTAAGTAGACACATGTCAAGATCAGGATAGAAGAAAAGTTCAAATTTTATTCTAAGTGGACACGTGTCAAGATTATGAAAGAAGAAAAGCTCAAATTGCTTTCAAAGTAAACACGTGTGAAGATCAGGAAAGAAGAAAAGTTCACGTTTTCTTCTAAGTAGACACGTGTCAAGATCGGGAAAGAAACAAAGTTCAATTTTTGTTCTAAGTAGACACGTGTCAAGATCAGGAAAGAAAAAAAATTCAGCTTTTCTTCTACGTAGACACATGTCAAGATCAGGAAAGAAGAAAAGTTTAAATTGTCTTCTAAGTGGACACGTGTCAAGATTCGGAAAGAAGAAAAGTTTAAATTTTCGTATAAGTAGACACATGTCAAGACCAAGAAAGATGAAATGATCAAATTGTCTTCTAAAAGGCACTTGTCAAGTTATGGACACTAAGAATTTCATCAATGGTCAAAATTTAGCCAAAACACTTATAATATAAGGGTAGATACTATATAAGGAATCAATGGTTACGATGTATCCACATAAGCTTTGATCGAAGGGCTAGAATGTAGGACGATATACTATAAATAGGTGATGGATTCATTCCATCCTTCATATAGGGGAAGCTAGAGAGAGAAAGTTAGAGAGAAAGAAAAAGAGAGAAAAGAGAAATAGAGGAAGAAACAAAGAAACAAAGAAAGGGAGAGAAAGCCAAGAGAAGGATTTTCCTCTCGACCAGCGAATTTGTAAGTAGACTTTTCACTGCATCACTTGAACAGTAGCACATGAAAGTTTTCAGTTTCTAAAAATTGTCAATTTATATATCCTTGACATGATTTCATGAGATTTAGAAAGTGTTTTAGTTTTCAGAATATAATATGAATCTTGTGTTGATTACGAACTGACTCAGTCAGTAAAAGGGCCAAATCCTTCAGGAACAAGAGATTCTGAGACAGGAGCCACCATATAGAAGATAAAAAGGTTCTAATA